ACTCCCCCGCTACACCATGAAGCAATTCTCCAGGAGAACGTGCCTAAGTCTGACCCTCCAGCTAGTCAAGTGGAGGCTGAAAATGTTGAGGCTGCCACAACCAACACTGAAGCCAATGTGGAGCCCTCCCCACCAAAAGCTTCAGGAGACAGCGAAGCTACTGATCCAGACACTTCTGTTCCTGAGTCTGTTGCAGGTCCTCAATTTGATTACCATGTTGAGCACAGGCCTCATGTCCAGAAGCCAGTCCCAAGGCTGCCAAGGTTCCCAGGTCCTGCATCAGCACCTGGCTCCTTTTACATCAATAGCTTCAAGGCAGACAATACGTTCTTCAACAGCTCCAAGAACCCATATTCAAGGGAAAGGATTTCATCAGATAGGTTCTAGAGCTATCCTCAGCGCAGCTACTATTCATGCATCCTATACAACCAAGGTCGCATATTCCTGCACAAGCGCCTTGATGTTGAAGCCATTGCTGGTCTGCCCTGTCTAGAGGAAGCTTTGGATTGCTTTAAGCAAGTGGGTCTGCTGCAGTTTGTCACTAATGAAGAGCACTGGAATGAAGAGCTTCTGCTTCAGTTCTATGCCACCCTCCACATTAAAGGATACAACAGAGATCAGAAGACTTGGGTCCTGGAGTGGATGACCGGCAATGTCCATCATGAAGCCAATGCATATCATTGAGCTCACCGGCCTGCCCACTCCTGGCGAATTCTTCGAGGAAGGCTGTCAACTACATGCTGAAGCTATTGAGAGCATATTCCAGAGGCCTGAACCAAATATGAGTCAGATGCTCTCAATGATGAAGCCATTGCCCCATGATGCACCCTATCCAACTGAGTTCTTCGTTGAAGACCTTGAGTACCTGCCCAGGACCATATATCACATCATCCGGCGGACTCTCTAGCCCATTAAGGAACACTCTCCACATGCCAAGATTGAGGGTGCAATAAAGACTCTCATATTCTATATCCTTCATGGCAAATGCTTCAACGCACAGGATTTCTTCATACGCCAACTTGCAGGGTCAGGCTCAGATTTATTTGGTTTGAAGTTCTATGCTCCTTGGGTGATGAGGCTGATCAAACTGCACTCTGCGATCTCGTATCAGCCCTCAGCCCGAAACCATCGGATCTTCTTGCCAGATGTGGATACCTCTGCTGAAGTTATATATCCTGAGCCTGTCAAGCAACCTTTAAGTCTTCAGAATGCAGAACACCAGAGCTTCACTCAGAACGATGAAGGTGTTGAAGCCATCTCTAGGGTGTATCCTTTGGCTGGCACTACACGTACGCCACACCCTGCTTCAACTGAAGCCACTGATAGTGCAACTGCTTCAAGACCCAAGAAGCGCACTCGTGTTCTCAACGACCGAGAGCTTCTTGTGGCCCTTCATCAAAAACAAGATATGCATCATGACTGGCTAAAGCGTCAGATGAAAAGCCTCTTGGTGGATGTTAATCGTCTTCGAAATCTTGCCACCAAGAATGCTTTTGTCACTCATGAAACCTGTCGTCGTACATGGAAAGGGCTATCAATGATGTGTACTGAAGCTGAACTTGAAGAGGATGGCTTCACTGAACGATTCAAGTTTGACACCACACCTCCTAGAAGGGCTGTGATGCGCAACACACCATCACTTGAAGACTCTGAGTTTTCTTCATCTGCTGCCATAGTCACTGCCAGAATCATTGATGAAGAAGACGATGCTACATCACCGCCACCTGCTTCAGCACCTCCAAGCTCTTCTGCACCGCCAAACACCTCCAACGACCCTGCTGCTCCTGGGAACGAGTAGACACTCTATGTCTTCAAACCTTTTTGGTCCTTGCTGACAAAAGGGGGAGAAGCATATGGGTTTATAGTCTTCAAGCGGGTCCATATGAGCGGGTGCTTTATGTTTTGCTATATTTTTGCTTCGTGCTTACAACTCTCGTTTTTGCTTCATTTGGTTCTTTGAGTTGTAACACTAAAACTCGATGGTCGTCTGCTACTTGTTTGCCACCCTGTTTGCGAAGATAAATTCCGCATGTGCGACGATAAATTCCGCACTTATCTCATTCTGCAAACGTCCATTTTCCATTATGCATGTCATTATCTTCATATATATTCACATGCATAGTGGATTGTCATCATAAGCTGAAGTGGATCTCCACAAGTACAACCTGCCATGTGCATTTGCATTCCAAAAGCAAATTAACTTGTATGCACATCTTCAGGGGGAGCCCTTGCAACTTATGAAGACAATTCCTTATCCTTTACAATTTCACAGACTATATTCCCCGTTGAAAACTTCAACTAGTTTGTCATCAATCACCAAAAAGGGGGAGATTGTAAGTGCATCTAGTGCCACCCCTAGTTGGTTTTGGAGTATTGACGACAAACCTAGTTGAGGGACTAATGTGTTTGTGAGAATTGCAGGATAACACAGGTAGAAGTCCCTCATTGATTCGGTTTTACTACCAGAGATGACCCCTAAAAATGTATGAAGACATTGAAGCCAAAGGTGGTATATGAAGATATTCACATTGAAGACTATGACAAAAGAAGACACGTTATGAAGCCTATGGAGCTCGAAGACTTAGATCTTTCGTAGTTCTTTTTCTTTTGTGTTGAGTCATAGGAACCACTGTACTGTTAAGTGGGGTCCAGGAGAACCAGTCAGAATGACTGAAGTGATGCCCAAACTAAAAACCTATGTCTTCGAGTGAAGACAATGAGAGCGAATCTTGTCCAGAGCCGGACAAGTCAGCTTTGCTTGTAGCCCAAGTAAAGTTGCCATGAGAGTTTGAAATCTGACCGTTGAGACACGTGTCAGTTCCTTAGTGACCCAGGGTCATTTCGGACAAATCAGGTCGGGTTGCCAAGTGGCTATAAATAGCCCACCCCCTACAACCATAAACGGTTGGCTGCTTAGATTTTAGTGCACGGCTTTTGTCGTTTGAGAGCAACCCACCTCGAAGCCTTTGAGAGAAAATTCCTAGCGAGGAGAAAAGCCCTAACCACCCAGAGCCAGAGAACATTGGGCATCACTTAAGTCTTCTTGTCTGTGTGATCTGAAGACTTATTACATTTGAGGACTGTGAATCCTCCAGACGGTTAGGCGTCGCGTTCAGAGCATCCAAGAGACATTGTGGATTGCCAGTGAACGAAGTCTGTGAAGGTTTGGGAGTCTACCTTGAAGACTTACCAGAGTGATTGGGCGAGGACTAAGTGACCTTAGCTCAAGGAGAATACGGTGAGGACTTGGTGTCCTGAGCTGCGTGTTCAGGACTGGGTGTCCGGGACTGTGTGTCCCAAGGTTTAAATACCTAGCCGCTCCAACCAGACGTACAGTTGTCACAGCAACTGGAACTGGTCCAACACATCATTGTCTTCAACGAGTCACTGGTTTCATCTTCACTTCCTTTTACTTACTGTTACTCATTGTGAAGCCAGTGCATGCTTGCTATACCTTTTATCTTCACAATGTAACTGTATGATTTGTTTGACTTCATAACTTCTTCCTACTTGATCCTTATTACACTGCAGCTACTTGTCATTGTGCTTTCACTCTATTGAATACTTGACCATGGCTTGCCTAGTGTAATCTAACTTCCGCTGCATAGTGATAGGCTTATCTCTACTGTTTGTCTTCATAACTTCCACGTTTTGAAGACTTTCATAAAAATCGCCTATTCACCCCCCCTCTAGTCGATATAACGCACTTTCACGAAGCCCTGCTGGAGTACCACGCTCCTCCACCACCACCACGCCGTTGTGCTGCTGCTGAATGGAGTCTTCCTCAACCTCCCCCTCTCTCCTTGCTGGATCAAGGCATGGGAGACGTCACCGGGCTGTACGTGTGTTGAACACGGAGGTGCCGTCCGTTCGGCACTAGGATCTCCGGTGATTTGGATCACGACGAGTACGACTCCTTCAACCCCGTTCTCTTGAACGCTTCCGCATAGCGATCTACAAGGGTATGTAGATGCACTCTCCTTCCCCTCGTTGCTGGTTTCTCCATAGATAGATCTTGGTGACACGTAGGAAAATTTTAAATTTCTGCTAAGTTACCCAACATGTTGTGTTTGCAACATGTCCTATGTTTCAAACGTCCAACTGCATCCGACACAGATCGACGAACACGACATGTGCTTTGTTGCAAACAATGAGCACAATCTGGCCTATGTTTCACACAAACAAGTCGCAGTGCAGATTCAACAACCCCGGAGCCGGCTGATTTTCTTCTCGCATTGGCCGGTCAACGCGTAGCACCGTCCAAAAACCTATAGTACTCCCTCCAGTCCATATTAATTATTGTTGATTTAATACAAAGTTGTACTAAGTTAACGACAAATAATATGGACATGAGGTAGTAGTACATTTTAACCAACATTGCTATCATTTTCCTCAGCTCCTCCCACTATATGCATTTCATCCATCCGAAAGACAGGCACCGTGTTCCTTCTCTTTTCCAGTTCAACTGTTCAAGGGATGTACTTGAATTACAAAATGGTGCCACCTTTTTTTTAGGAGAATGGTTCCACATTTCAGTTGTACTAACCCCACTGGAGCAACTTTCAGCAGCACAGATCACAGCACACCAACGTCCATTAAACAAACAAAACACATGGAGACTAGAAAGGGGAGAAGCTACTCAATCATATTCAAATGAGCTACTCAGCTCTAATCTAATGACTACGAGGAGGAAAGCAAAAAATCCTAAAACTCCAGGGGTGTCAACGCAAAACAAAAAGGCACGGACCCGGTTATTACTACGCGTCCCCAGCTAGCGAGCCCCCATCCATCCGCTTCGCTCTCTCTCTCTCTCGGGGTGTGTCAGGTTTCTCTGTCTGGGCTCCCGGCATCGGCGGCGGCGCGGCGGCGGGCGGGCATTGGGAGGGAGCTCACGGCGGCAAGCGGCGGCAGGCGGAGCGGGCGCGGGAGCTCTCCGGCGGCCATGCCGCGATCCGGGGCGTGATCCCGCCGGGGATTGCTGGCCCGGGAGGGCCGCGGCGATGAACGGCGCGAGCGCCGGCTCCGGCTCCGGCGGCGAGGGGCCGCTGGTGTACCAGGCCTGGAAAGGGAACAATGTGAGCCCGCCGCCTCCCCTCTCCTCTACCCCCCCTTCCATGTTTCTCTCCCCCATTTTACCATTTTATTGGGTGCGCGCGCGGATCTGTGCGTCCTCGAGGTGGTCGCTAGATTGGCCTGCGGAAATGCATGCTAGGGTCCTTCGGCTGAGCTCCGCGTAGATGGTTGCTCGTTTTTTCCCCTTGTGTTTTACTACGATTTTGTGCATCGTGTGCTAGCCTTCTAGGGGAGTGTAGGTTCTGGGACATGTATGTGGTGTCCTTGTTCCTGTTCTTGTTCATGACAAGGACAGTAAACGCCAGTGGATAGTTTTGATTCGGCGCTAGTTAATGTGGTAAGGAGATGAGTTTTAGCTGAGACTTAATAGTTCTAGTAATGGATGTATTAATGGTCCTTCCACCTGATGATGCTAAATGTAAATATACATCTCGCTTCATCTTGTTCTTTCCCGAGGGAATTATGCATAGAGAAAGTGTCATTGGTGCCTACATTAGCTTGGGACGAAGTTGTCTGTAATTCTGTATGAGATCTTCAGACTGTTTTTGTGCAGGTAAGCAGTGGGGAAAATGTGACTGGGACTGATATGATGTACTGTCTATTTGCAGGTGTTTTTCCTCCAGGGGAGGTTTATATTTGGACCTGATGCGAGATCCTTGTTTGTCACCATGTTCCTCATTATCGCTCCAGTAACAGTCTTCTGTGTGTTCGTCGCGAAAGAATTGATGAATAGCTTCTCTTATGGCCTGGGGTTACCGGTGATGGTTGTGGCAGTTGTATTCACGGCATATGTGAGTACCATTTGTACCCCTTTCGGATCACCTTCTTCCTTGATTTTTAGATATGTCTTGCACTCAGTACATGCTATTGTTTGGGGATAGTCGGTGGGATCTTCATTACTTACAAGCTGCTTTTCAAGTTCAGATAATGTGCATGCTGTGGATCTTTTTTTTTTATGAAAGAGAGGGAGGCCTCCCTCCAATTTCCATTAAAAGAACCAATGTGGTTCAGTTACAAGGCTGTCAATATATTCTGGGTTTTATGTGATTACATGTCCAATCAATAGGAAGTCAGAAACATCTGAGTTGAAGTACAGTTTGTACTACTATGAGTATGTGCCTTTGTTTTAAATTGTTCGTTAATTTGCCGATTTGTTCAAGATAATATAGATCTGAACTATGATATTCGCTAACTGAACTGTAATACCTTCCTTGATCATGCATGGCATGTTTATCGCCCAATTGATCCTGATTTTATAAATGCAATTGAGTTTGAGGATATTAAGGAAGGGGGCCATAGCTTGTTGCATCCTTGCACTTGTTGGCAAGTAGCACTAGCATATTCTGATGCTGCTATCCCCTCATATCTTGCAAACTGGATATAAAATACAATGTTGTTGTCTCTGTTTGTGATTTTTCCTGGTAAACAGAAAAGTGTATGTATCCACAGTACTCTTCACTTACTGCTTTGGCATTTCTGTCACCTGTCACTTTGCAGGATTTGAGTCTTCTATTTCTCACTTCTGGGAGGGATCCAGGAATCATACCTCGAAATGCACATCCTCCAGAACCTGAAGGTTTTGAAGGCAATGCTGAAGTTGGAGCTAACCAGACTCCACCATTGCGTTTGCCCCGAGTGAAGGATGTTGTTGTGAATGGAATCACTGTGAAGACAAAGTACTGTGACACCTGTATGCTGTACCGGCCTCCTCGATGCTCCCATTGCTCTATCTGCAACAACTGTGTCGAGCGATTTGACCATCACTGCCCATGGGTTGGGCAGTGCATAGGACTTGTAAGTTCATTAACCGAATACATATACCTATAAATAGCATGCCCTACCTTTTTTTTTTGCATCGTCTTGTGCATGCCGCGCTCATATTTTGGTTCATGAGAATTTATCTACCCAAATGATAAGTGCCACACGTGTGGCACGAAGTAACACCGCCCTGACGTTTTTACAATTAAAATTGCCATACCGCGAGCACGGCCTTTTTCAATAAAATCATCGCGCAATAAATCAACAAAACCTAAAGTCATTTCGCGAGGTCTAAACTTGTTAGCTTGATTCACTTGCATATGCTGACAGAATAGTATACTAGCACTTCATATTGTGGTATATAGAGTTTCCTGTTTCATTATGCCCAGTTCTGTTTGATTGATAGATTCTGAAATAATTGAAGTGCTTACAAGTTTGCATATGATTGTGCAGCGGAATTACAGGTTCTTTTATATGTTCGTCTTCTCGACGACTCTTCTCTGCCTCTATGTCTTTGGATTCTCCTGGGTGTACATTATTAAGATCAGAGATGCGGAGCAGATAACAATATGGAAGGCAATGGCAAAGACCCCTGCGTCTATTGCTCTGGTTGTCTATACGTTTATCGCGGTTTGGTTTGTTGGTGGCCTCTCAGTGTTTCACTTGTATCTCATGAGCACTAACCAGGTAAGTGATGTTCCCTGAAATGGTATATTCCCAGTCTCGCATTGTGATCCGTTCTGTCAGTTGCTAACCATTGTTGCCTTTTACTGCTGTAGACAACATATGAGAACTTCAGGTATCGCTATGACCAACGGGCCAACCCATACAACAGGGGAGTCGTGGAGAACATCAAGGAGATCTTCTTCACGCCGATCCCTGCTTCCAGGAACAACTTCGGCGCCAGAGTTCCACAGGAGCAGGGCCTGAGGCCTCGCTCGACGAACGGTTTCATGAGCCCAAACATGGGGAGAGCTGTCGGCGACATCGAGATGGGCAGAAAGCCGGTGGCATGGGATGAGCCCAGGATGGCAGCTGAGATAGGCGACCTGGGAGGTCTGGGCAACTTGCTGGAGGACAAGGATGGCAGGTTCCGCAACGCATCACCAGATCTAAGCCGTGACGCCCTCGTGGTTGGAGGCTTGGATGAGCAAGGCTCCTCGGTGATGAACCCACCACGGACGAGCTGGGGAGTCGAAGCGGGCAGGTGATGGTGACTGGCCAATGTGGCCATGTAAGCAGCTATAGTGGAGGACTAAGGGGTGTATGTTAGTGCCAGCTTGTTCGTAGTTTGGTGTCCGGTTGAGACTCGAGGTCGCTGATGTTGTTATTAGGGCTATGACCTGGTTGTTAATTCTTGCATCATGTATCAGTGGTTTTTAAGCAGATTGTTGGTGTGTGGGGTCTCCAGTTGAGTAGAATCTTAATTGTGTCTGTATATAGTTTGGAGTGGTGAACCCTGAAATGGATTGGTTTGCTTTGGCTTCCGTTGTCAAAGATTGTGAACGGCATTGTACCTTTCAATTTATGCTGCCACTCCAAAGCTTGAATTTCTGCCTCTTTTTTAGTGGCCAGATGTTGATTTTGTTGTTGCTGCATTCCTTGTAGGAAACTTCACCATCTTGTTATTGCTCATGAAATGGCAGTGTGCTACTCTACTACTAGAAACATGCTCGCCCTGCTTTATATTTGGCTGAACACAGAAAAAAACACATGAAAGACGCGAAATCCTCAAATGCTGATCAAACACAGAAAAAACACACAAAAGACGCGAAAATCGCGAAATCCTCAAAGGCTGACCAAACACAGAAAAAACACACAAAAGATGCGAAAAGCGCACATGAGCGCATTACTAGACGACGCTAGAATGTTGCCGAGGAGAAGCACAGGAGATTCGTCGCTACAGTGATAACCACCCACACTCATCAACGACACCTTAAGATTGTAACACCGCCATGCGCGATCACCATAGTGTCCATCAAAACAAACGCAAGTTTCACCCACAGTGCCGATGGGAAGGGGGAGGACCAAAGCAGCGCCCAAGGGGAATGCGACACCTGCAGGCATCACCACCACCAGAGCCAAGACACAAAGCTTTCGCTCGACCCATCCAACCCTATGCGCCAATGGGACATTGCCACATACCCTACCTGATGAGGGACTATTGCAGCGATCGGGAACTCCAGATCCAGATCAGGGCTAGGCCGCCACCGCCTGCGACAACTTTGCCAGGACCACCAACAAGCGTGCATCCCGCCACCCACATCTCCGAAGCACATTGCCAAGACCTGCTAACACACTGCTCGCTAGAGAGCCAAGACATGTACTAGGTCGTCGCCCCGGCATCCTTGGCCACAAGCCCGCCCTCACGGCAAACCTCTCGACCACTGCAGGACAGGACGCACAACCCTCAAAAGATGAATTATTCGCGAACCAACTTATGGTTGGATGGTTAGGAGGATAGTGGTATCCCAAACCCATCAAGTTCAAGTCCCGTTGCTCGCATTATTCTGAATTTATTTTAGAATTTCAGCGGTGCGTGTTCAGTGGAAGGAGACGTTCCGATCGACTACATGGCGCCCGTGATGATTTCGTCAATCTCAAGATGATATATCGGCTCAGTGTCTCGGACGTGCTCGTAGGGGTAGGGTGTGCGTGTGTGTTCGTAGGGGTGGATGAGTGTACGCGCGTATATATGAGCGCCTACGTCTTGTTCTAAAAAGGTGAATTATTCCAAAAAAAATTGGATTGTTTGGGTAGCAAAATTAAATTTATCCAATAATGGAAGGAAAATGCACTTTTTTCTCATCCGTATCGACGCCGCCACCGTCAAGCCCCCGCGCCCCCGCAATCCCCTCCTCTCTCTTCCTCGGCCAGGGTCGGCGGCCGCACCTTCGCCGTGGCCCCCGATTCCCTTTGCCATCGCTGGTCCTCCCCCTCCTTCGTCGCGGCCTCGGTCGACATAGGAAAGATCGCCCAATACCAACGAAGCGGAAGGACAAAGCCGTCGTCAGTGTCGTGTTTTGCGGCTCGTCGTCGTTCAGATTCGAGGTAAGGTGGGCGCACCGCGCCTCCTCCAAGGCTCCAACTCCTTCCGATCTGCTTATCCCAAATAGGAATTAGAGCAGCAGAGATTACATTCTCTTGCTGAATTTCCTCCTCGACACGCCTAATAGGCCGTGCTTCTGTCTCTGCAGGTCTCATGCTTCGATCTGATTTCTTACATGAGCAAGTGAAGAGCCGTGATTGCTGCATGTGTCTGCACAGTTTAAGTGGATTGGTAAATTCTGGAACTGCATTGGCTTCTCCACCGGCAAACAGTTGGAGAAACTACACAGATCAGGAGGTTGTCTGCCAACCAAATGTACGCTAATGCTTGCCTGGCGATCTGGAGATGCAGACAGTTGTGGATCGCACTTGCTTAATCTGCATGAATTTCTGCTTCAAGTACCTAGGCAGGCATCAGTGTAACAGCTACTCAGCTGATTTGAAGCAAATGGATGCTTACATTACAGGTAACTATATCATGACACACATCAGTTCATCTTTGAGTTGCAGAACCCAATCAAAGCACAATGATATCACACTTTGCATTAATAAGAAGTCAAATGTGTCCACAAACACCCCACTTTATTACATGATACTGTACACAAATGCAAATGATGTTCGATACAGAGGAAAGCCACACGAATTTAAATCCAAGCATAGATACAACCGTTTATGCTCAATTGGAGCCACTAGGGCACTCATGTAGAGCAAGTAAACGGACATACTTCAGTTGTAATGCACGCAGAACATAAACACGCAGCAGAAAGAAATCAACAGACAAGCAGAACATATTGCAATCCACACTAGCACACGCAAACTACACCATGGGATGAAAGGACAGGCCCTTCGGGTGTCAAACCTGTTTCTTCCAGCAGAGAGATAGTGCTGCAGCATCATCGTAATCCTCTTCTTCATCTCCTTTTGCTTAGTCTTGAGTTTCTGGTCTGTTAATTTTAAGAGTAGGCTTGTTTTTATGGTATTTAATGGCCTCCCTCACCTGATCAGGGACTTGGCCACCAACACCGTTGACGTTGAACTCGAGCTCCTTCAATCTGGGAAGTTTCTTGATGCCGGAGAGAGATGTGGAAGATGACCAGACAATCTTCTCGAGCCTAGGAGCTGACCCGCTGTTGAAATCAATCTCGGTAATGGCTAAGCAGTCAACAACAAGAAGGTTGAGCCATAAGAACTCATCTTTTTTCAATGTAATCTTGTTCTGACTTCCACTCAAAGACTTGTCCAGGAGCACCAGAGAGCGTATATTTGGTTTCTTGGTGAGTGTTTGTAGAGCATCTTGCTCTAGCAATGTACCACGAAGAGTTAGCTTGGCTATCTGTTTGGCATCGTCAAGCAAACTGCCGCAGAAGCTGCTGTTCAACTCAAGCTCATTCAGTTTAAGAAGATTGTCAACTCCAGAAATAGAACATTTGCTGCTGATAGACAAAACCATCTTCTCGAGCTCACTGGCTGCCTCATCCTCAAAAGTAATATTAGTCAAGTCCAAGTCCTCAACAAGAAGGTACTTGAGGCATCTGAATTCACCTTCCTTGAAGTTCAGCTTTTGTTCGCTGCATACAATATGTTGGAGCCTGACACACCGTAACTTGGGCAACTTGGCAAGGACTTCCAGATCATCTTGGCTCAGCAGAGTGTGACATAGAGTTATCTTGGCAAGTTTGTTGTTGTCACCTTTTATGAACAATGGAAGAAGACGCCCCTTCTGTGTGGTTCCCCTGATGCTTAGACTCTCAAGGATCTTGGGGAAGTGTTTTAAGAGAGAGCCAGGCAACTCTGCACTGGAAGGAGTAGCCTTGCGTGCTGAGACTACGGGAGTAGTAGTGATTGACAGAGAACGGAGGCACTCATGTAAGTCACCGATCTCCTGAAGCAAATTCCTGAGGTGGCTATCCATATCATGGATAACCACACCTAGCTTCCTCAGCTGCCATAGCTTTCCAATATCTTTTAAATCACGACTCTTCTGAGCCTTTACATTGGATAGTACCTCCATGTTTAGCATTTTGTCGACACTATGAGGAATCCGGGGACTGGATTCAAAATTGCTTGGATCAGTGTGACCAGCTAGCAGGCGCTTCAGCTTCAAGAGCAGGATATGTGTTGTTGCATGTGAAGGTATATCAGTTTGTCGGATATCCAGTACCTCTAGCTCACGGAGGTTGTTGATTTCACTTGGTAGCTGGGTAATATCTGTTTTCCTTAGGCTCAGATACTTGAGCAGTAACATCTTGCTGCAGATTTCCTTGAGGTACCGATGGTTCTTCTCAAGAAAGCACCGACAACCTTCTAGATCTAGCACCTTGAGCAGGGATACTTGAGATGATTTATAGAGCCCATGGAAGAATTGATCAATTCTATCAGAGCTGCGGAGTTGGAGATCATTGAAAATGGAGAAGTGGCGAGCCAAGTGATGTGACAGGCGTGTCTCCACAATGTGTTGTTTTCTGGCGATGGTGGTGATGAATCCATGAACTGAATCACTTACGAGGCAGCTCTTTACTTTTCCCATGGCATCAATATCAGCAGGATCAACAAGGCAACGGCCAACGAGTGTGTCAAAACATCGGTTGGCCTGACGCACAGAACTGGGCCAATCTTCCTTGGATGTCAGCCCTTCTGCAACCCAGCGTGCAATCAAGGTTGACCGCCTGATCTTTTGTCTGGGAGAGAAGATAGCTAGGTACAGCAAGCAGGACTTGTATTCTTTAGGCAGGTCATTGTAAGAGAACTTGAACATCACCTTAGCAATGCTGTTGAATGATATTGTTGGTAAAGCCCGCAGGGTGCTGTGCAGCTTGTGTAATTCCTCACCGCTCCTCTTGGGGTTAGCATACAGAGCATGAGTGAACACCTTCATGCAGAATTCATGTGGCTCACACTCGTACAAGATATCATGAAAAATTTGGGGGTTATAGCTGTCTTCATTCTTCTGCTGACTAGTAAGCTCGAGTACTGCATCATGGTAGAGGCCAGCAAGAGAATAGTCTATAGGTTCTCGCGGTGGATAGCAGTATTCTTTAGCCAGCTGGATGTCCTTCGCGGTGGTGACAATCATCAAATCAGCGCTGCAGTTTAACAGGCTCAAAGCATTTCTGGTATCCTCCCAAGCAGAAACATCCATCAGCTCATCAACTTTGAGGATAAACAGGGGGCATTCATAATTATTCGAGTCCGGAAGACGATTCAAGTTTTTTTTAATCTCGTCCACGAGCCCTTTGATCTTAAGCTGCTCTTTGAACTCGTGCTTCATTTTGTCCATCATCTGATCCGTGAAACGGGCAAATATGTTTTCAGAAACAGTTTGTGTGTTTTGATCCGGAGCACCAGGTTCACCTGTCCCTTCACTTTTGTCATATTTGCCTTGCTGCAGCTCCCGTAGGATGTCTTATTTTGCGTCGTCGATGAGTTTTTTGATTTGATCCTCACCCAGTGTAGCTGTTGTGGTCTTTTTAGCTTGTTTGTCGAAGGATCTGTCCGAAGCTTGCAGGGGCTTGCTGCTGCTCTTGGGGAACAACTTCCGCAGGATGTGTGCATATTGTGCCTCATTGAGCTGAATCTGTGCCGTCTGCTGACCTTTGATTTCTCCGCCTCCTTCCTCCACCATATGCTTGGCTGTTTCCCCCCCTCCCCCGCCTCCTTCCTTCTCCTCCATATGTATGGTTGCTTCTCTTTCCCCGTCCTCCGTATGTTTGCCTGTTGCTTCTCCTCCTCCTCCTTCCTCCCTATGCTTAGCTGCAGCTTCTTTTCCTTCTTCTGCCCCCATATGCTTGGTTGCTTCTTCCTCTTCAAGATTCTTGTCCTTTTCCTTTGCTTCCATATGCTCTTTAAGCTTCTTGACAATGATGTTGCTGTTGTCCCACACTGGTAACCTATGCATGTCTTTGGTCTTCCCTTTTTGATCTTGTTGCGACGCTGCCTGGAGCAGCAGCTGAAGTAGTACATCTAGGTCCAACTGGTCAAAATTACCCTGCAGCTTGTCGCCCTTATTCTCTAGTCGACCTTGAATGTCACTTCTGATTTTGTCAATCTTATCATAAATCTTCATCTCTCTGATATTCTCATCAATTTGAAGAAGAGCAATAGCCCTCTTCTTTTCATTGTAAATTTGCAATCTTCTCATGTAAGCTGACCAAGGGTCAAGATACTTCTCCTCCACTTGGCCTTCTGTGCTTTGATCCTGGGGTTGGGATTTGGCATGCTTGAGCTCGCGTAAAATGCAGAAGAGAACTTCCTTGGGTCGTAGCGGCGCAAAATGCAGGTGCACAGCCGGGATGTCAACCACGACAATGCGATGGTAGCCGCCCTCCGGGTTTTGACTCAAAAGCCAAATTTTTTGTACAAGAGCGATGAGGTCCTGATATGTGTAGGGTGCCGCCACCACGACCATGGACAAACTTTCGCTGGCTTGTGAAGGAACTCCATATGCCCACTTCCATAGCTTTGCCTTGACGTAGTCGTCTAGAGTGCGAGGCTCAATGAAGGCTCTTCGAGCAGAATGACCGCTGGCTGCCATCACCCCCACGAGTTGATCGTCACCGTTTTCTTCTTCTTCATCATCGTCGTCCCCAACAGCAGCATAGCCACCAACCATAGCAGCCTTCGATGACGATGCTGCCGTCGGAGGCGATTGCTCCTTCCCTGACTTGGCTGGAACCTCCACGCCATATCTCATCCGCCGCTCGCCAACGTCGCGCCCGCTCCTTGAGCAGGCGCAGCTGCTGAGCCGCACGGTGCTGTGCGACCAGCTTGTGCAGGAACCAGGTCGTCCACCAGAGGTAGCCACGGAGCCCGCCTCTGGCACGGTGGATGTCAGGGTTCCCCCTGTAGAGGTAGAGGTCGATGCAGTTGTTGCAGTCCTGGGCGAGCAGCCGCACCTGGTTCATCCAGGTGCGCACCTGCTCATCGTGCTCGCCGCCGGGGGGTGCCGACTTGGCCAGGTGCGTCAGGAAGCTCTTCATGCTCTCCATCTCCTCCTTGATGAACTGTACGTCGTCCCGGACGCCACGCAGTAGCCGCGCCTCACTGCGTATGACGACCAGCAGGGAGCTCACGGCGCCCGCCGCGAGCTCGGCCATGGCTCCCTCTCCTTGTGCCGGCTGGTTGGGTTGGTTTCTAGTTGAATTGGTGGATGCTAGCTGAGCTGGGTGGTGGCGACGACGCACACATTCTTCCCCTCGTATGGGAGAGCCAGAGGAGGGAAAAGAAAGAAACGAACCAGTTCAAAGCGTGCCTATGTAATCGCTGGGTCCAGTGCACGCTCTTCCAGAAACGAATCTTCTTTTCTTCTTTATTTAAGATCGTCCAGAAACGAATCGGTTCGAAGCGTGCCTCTGTAATCATTGTGTCCATGGCTCCTCGACGAATCGCCCTCTCACCCCATGGGGGATGGGCTGATGTTCACTCAGCCCGCGCTGTGAGGAGGCTTGATCGCTTCTGTCTCTTGACACATCATAGTGAAAAAATACTTCCTCCGTAAACTAATATAAAAGCGTTTAGACCACTACTTTAATGATCTAAACGCTCTTATATTAGTTTGCAGAAGGAGTATATAGACAATCATCCAAATGCATCGTCTCTTAGACCTCTTGTACTAGGTAGAATCATACCACGTATATGATACTAGTCTATAATATTATCTAAATCAAGTCAAATCTTAACTAAATCAAAGCTTTTTTTTACTTTCCCATACCCATATTCTAATCTTACGAAAATCTAGAATATGTTAAGGTGCAACGTATATGTCGGACATGATTGCTGTTGAACCACTAGATTACAATGCATGGATAATTAGCTAGTCTTATTTAATTGTTTGTAGAATCCCAATATGAATTTCTAGACAAGATCTTTGACATTAACTTTTCTCGTTTCACAAGCTATGATGTTGTATCCTAATATGAACCCCAATATGAACCGACCAGTGAGCCGGGATGTTGAAACGGTGAGCTGTGACCAACAGGAGAAGGCGACCGACGACGAGCTGAGATGGTACGACGTGCGAGGGAGCGGAGTTGCGATGGTGTATCTAGGTCATGGGACCGGGCGATGAGGAGAGGAGCCGACAACCAGCACCTCCGCGTGATGGATATGTGGGGATTCTTTTTGGATCGTGCCTCGACAGGTGACCGGCAGACGCCTGACACTGCCCGAACGAAAATCACTGTTTTATCCAATCTTAGAGCAACTCTAATAGGGCGACCCAGTCCGCCCGGGTTTATTTAGGTCGGTGCGGACAAAAGCGGCGGCTCAACGCGTCGACCCAAACGGACGCGTGTCCGTTTTTCGTTCGCGGGTGACCCGTTCCCGGCCTAATTTTAAACCGGATTTGTGTCGGCGCGGATACGAGACGGACGCGCGCGCGCCTACTCCTTCTTCCGGGCCCGCCTGTCGGTGGCAGCCATCACCATTTCCCCCATTTTCCCAAAAAACACTCCCGCCCGCGCGCGC